TCAGGTCTAAAAAGTTTTTCTACATTACTAATTAAGTGCATGGTCATTTGTAGTAATGTGCAGTTCTTACTGCTCCAACATATACTCATACTACAGTATAGTAAAACACAGCTCTACAGGTTTGCATATTCCTCTGTCCTCTCTCAGACTCTGTTCCATGTACATGGAAACATTACCTGCTCTGGATCAGTCAGCTTATATTATGCTAACATTGTGATCCACATTGTGATCTCTTATCATAATGTCTCATCATACAGTCCCGATCCAGTGTAAGACCACTTGAAAAATGTTAAAAAGTCATATTTTGCATGGTTGGATCTTAACACGTTTCCAAGTAGAGCTTCAACATGCAACAAGAAGAAATGGGAGTGTGACAAAACATTTTTTGAGCATGCAATTTATTGAAAAAACACTTAAACTGAAACAGGCTGTTTTACAGCTGATCAAAAGTTTAGGACCACACCTCCAAAAAACCCTGAAACCCCCAAAAGTTCCAAACATGAACTCAGTAATGAGCAGCTCCACTGTTATTGTTGATCACTTCAAAAATTTGTTGTGGCATGCTTGATGCAAGTGTTTCCTTGAGGTGAGTGGGAACATTTCTCCAAGTGGTGAAGACGGCGCACGAGAAGGGCATCTACTGTCTGGAACTGTTGTCCATTTTTGTAAACTTCCCTTGCCATCCATCAAAGGTTCTCAATTGGATTTAGATCAGGAACAACAGGATGGTCCAAAAGAGTGATGTTATTCCTGGAAGAAGTCCCTTGTCCTGCAGTCATTGTGTACTGTAGCGTTGTCCTGGTGAAAAACACAGGCGTTAACACAAAGACGAGGGCCCTCAGTCATGAGGGATGCTCTCTGTGACATCTGGACATGTTTGACACCCCTGCACCTCCTCAAGCTTCATTGTTCCACTGAAGGAAAAAGCAGAGAATAAAATGTTCTTCCAACTTTACTGACCCATGTTTGGTGCTCTCCTCCAAAGTCCAAACAGTCAGTTTTGTGGCGTTCAAGGAGGCGAGGCCTTTGAAGACATTTTTTGTCTTTGAAGCCCTTCAGTCTCAGATGCCGTCTCATGGTTATGGGGCTGCAGTCGGCACCGGTAACAGCCTTAATTTGGGCTGAGGATCCAGTGTCTTGACGGACAGTCATGACAGCGTGACTATCTGACAGAAAATGACAATGAATCCACATTTTTGCACAGATTTGACCTTTTAAAGCAAGCAAAATATTTTTTTTTTGTTGCCATTCAAGTGGTCTTAAACATTTGACCAGGACTGTATGTTATTATGTCTTCATTAAAGTGGAAGCTGTGGCTTTAGTCTCTGCATGCCTTGTTAATTAGCATACCTTTGTGACTGAGTAAGACTGTGTTGATAAGATAACTTGGTTAAAAGAGTTTATTTACATTATAAAGAAGGCCTGACTGTAGATCTGTCAGCCGTTTTAAAATTGCTGTTGCTTAACCTTCCTAAGATCTTCATTTTGTTTGCTTACTCTGTAGAAGAAGCAAAATGTAATCATGCTGGTGCAGCTAGAACTCCTCCGAAAAACAGTCAGTGCCAGATGTTCAATCTCACTTCCAGCCTTTGTGCTGCTTTAGCTTTCTCCTTGTTTTTGTTGCTGGACACATGTTAGAGTGGTGTCTGTGTACTCTAACGGTTGCCAAGAGCACCAGCGAGAGTTATTCCTAGGTTACTGATGCAACAGAAATTACAGTTCGTCTGGGAAATGAAACACTAGTTTATTATACAACTGAGCTGTCTGAGTCAAACAAAATGCAAACATGGATCACATTTGTGAATCAAATTCTGACCTGTAGATATTTATTATAAAGGACTGAATTTAGTTATTCCAAGAAGTTCAGATTGGTTCAACCCCAAACCTGATTTTAATGTTTTTAGAGTACACATATTATATAAAAAAGACACTAGAGGCTTTGTGTTGTCTTTTTTAGCTTGGATGCTTTCACTTTCAGTTTAGGTGAAGTTCCCTGAGGGGCGTTATTATTCATCCTCTGTCGACCTTTTCTGATCTTGAATGCTGACTGAATATCTGGATAGCAGGGGGTCTGACTCTGAATCATTCCTTTGGAAAGTGCCAAATGTTTTCTTGTTCTAATAAAGGGAAAGCTCAAATGAGGTGACAGAGAGGAACATTACACATTTGTAATCATTTACACATGATAATTTTAGCCTAATTAAACCCAGTCTTCAGTCCATAAAATTGATTTACAAAGGCTCTCTCCCATAGTTTGGATCAAATCACAAAACAGTGTTTCTTTGAAGTTACAAGGGAGCCTGATGATTTTTTTTTCTTCTTCCCCACTGTTAATTCACCTCCTCACTGCACTCATCAGTGTAGCCATGTGTCAGTCCGGAGTGTTAAGGGCTTCACTGGGCTTTACTCCTCCACACATGGTTACTCTAAATCAACAGGAACTGCTGAAATAACAGTTTCGGTTGAGAGTTCTTAAACTGGACTTCACTGGGCCTGGGCTCCTCTCCAGCAGGAGCTTCTCTGGTGGTAAAAAGCTCTTTTTATGGTCTTGTTGGTCGTTGCATTCCATCTGAATGTTTTTCCTGTCCCGTTTATCCACAGGCGGTCCGTGTCACAAAGCCCAACATCCCAGAGAGCATTCGCCGGAACTACGAGCTTATGTGAGTTTTGTTTTTTGATTTGTTTTTCTTCTAATTATTCCACAAGGAATATGAAATGGGGAGGAAAAAATAATATGATTCTTCTAGACTTCTCCTTTGGGGATGTTTATAAGGATTGAATGAGAAGAATATAAAAAAATAACTTGAAATTAAATAATTTAATACACTTAAGTCTTCCATGGACGCCTATATGTTGTTACATAACGGACAGAATTTAGATGGTACTTAGTCATCTGGTCTTTGTTACCCGTGGGTGCATTTACTCTATTACACAATACTATGTGTAACTCTGACTTGTCTTACTGGGAAAGCATGCTTAAATGAAGATCCTTTAAGCTCTCTATGCGAGGCGATGGCAAACATTCAACGCAACTGTAGAAAAGTGAATAATTCACAGAGATCTGTTGTGTGTGAACATGTAGCAGAAGATCCACAGCGGTGAAGTGAGCACCCACATTCACTCTGACCATAAAACAAACTACTTTAAATCATCACAACAGTACTAATGACCCTAAATCCATCAGAGCAGAACATCATGTGTAGACCTGCATATGTGATCACCATCACTTACTCACTACATTTGTTAAACATTCCATAGCACGACATTCAAACAGATTTCTATATTCTTTCATTACTACATGGAAAACTGTGTAACTGTGACCCACTGCCACCAGCACAACTAAAAGAAAAAACACACAACTGAACTCTTGACCTCATGCTGGTGGTGTACGCTCCTACAGACGGCACAGGTGAGCTGTTGTCCACTTGGAGTCTGTGTGAAGGATGCGAGTGTGTTTGGTGTCACATGGACAGGCTGAGTGGTCACAAAAAAAATCATCGGTGTGCTCGTGGACTTGTTTGCTGCTTTCCTTCAGGTTCTTACAAAGTTTACGGCACTCAGACGCCCATGTTGTGCATACTGACAAAATAGAAACTGTGGTTTCTACGTTGGCCATAAGTGAGAGAACGGAGGTAGAATAAGCAGTAAATCAGCTATTTTTGCCCCGATGTAGGTACAGCATTCATATCAACCTGTGAGTGGAGGGAAAGCAGAGCTGAAGCTCTGAGTTTTATTGGGAGCTCCTCTCTTATTCACATGCGGTCACTACAACGGAAACGCAACATATTTTTGATTCGTCTCATTTATTTATTTTATTTTTTTAAATTAATTTTACACACCAGATGCTCTTTCTGACACAACACCTCTGATCTGATTCTCTATTCAGTGATGTTTCTTATGAAAGGCAAATGTGTTGATACACCGTAGAGCTGTGAAGCATCCAAGTCTTCCAACTCAAACATGGGGCTCTACCTGCCGTGGCGCTTCTGAATAAGGGAGCAGCCAAAACAAGCTTGTGCTGCTGAGGAGTTCGATTGATAAAACCTTTTGGGTGGGAGCCTAAAAAAGTGAGTTTTATTTTTCTGACCTTCTAAAAAGTGGAGGTTCTTGGTTAAGCAGTGATGTGTGTGTAAGAGTTAAAAAGCTGCACGGATTAAAACCAACGTTTTTTTCAACTCGTTGATGCAGTCATGGAAAAACTGGACCCAGAAGGGAAACGGCTCTAGCCAAGGGCTCTGCAGTAACTCACATCTATTTAAGCAAAGAGTGCATGCATGCATGCATGAGTGCGTGTGTGCGTGCGTAAAATTATGAAGAAATGTTCACACTAGCCACAACAGTGAGCTGTGTACTTCGACAGCTTGATAAGAATCTAGTCTCTTGTAATAAACTGATTCCTTTTTAAATAAGTCTCCAGTATCGCTACTTTCACTTTGTTAGATTCGTACCTTTCTGACCTGTGGGAGGCAGTAGCATCTGTATTTCTGGTACTTTGTTTAGACAGCAGCACAGGAAGTCAGGCTTTTTATCCTGTTTTCCTCTATAACTGCTGTTTGTGGAGGGTAATTAGATCTTCGATTCACGTGTTTCTTTCAGTTTTGTTTCCACGACAGACTTCGTTTGGTTTGTTCTGGACAGTAATAAAAATATCGGGAATTTGAAACTTGAGATCATAGTGTTACAAAAGGCAGTCCAGACTGTGGGAAAGGCATTAGTCATTAGTCTCCTGAGTGGACACTAGTGGCTCCTCTGAGGCTGAAGGTAAAACAGAGAATTAGTGTGCAGGCTGAGGAATTTTGCTGCAAGACGTGGTTTGGATGCCAGAATAACAGATTTGAGATAAAGGTTTGGAAAGTTGTGGGGGCAGACGCAGGGTTGAGCTCCTTTGCCAGTGTCTGAGTGCTGTGTCATGCCCTTCCACAAACCTTGGAGCTTCTTTGGTAATGATGTTGATTTCTGTGGAAGTTAATATTGAAACAAACCACAGACATCCGGCAGCAAGCAGCTCCCAAAGTCAAGCTTGCACACAGAAGTCACATGTAGCTCTCAGTTAAAGCATTTTTGTTTTGTTTTGTTTTTTTATTAACTGCTCTTTAACATGTTCGCAGGGAGAGCGAGAAGACCAAGCTGCTGATCTCCCAGCAGACACAGAAGGTTGTGGAGAAGGAGGCAGAGACGGAGAGGATTAAAGCGGTGATAGGTGAGAAACTGAAGCGAGACTGTCGTGTTGAGAGCGCTTTGTTCAGAGACGAGTTATTTGCACTCAACGTGCTAACATGCTTGGATGTTTTGGGGTTTTGTTTTGTTTGTTGTAGAGGCTGAGAAAGTGGCTCAAGTTGCAGAAATCAAGTTTGGACAGAAAGTCATGGAGAAGGAAACGGAAAAAAGAATCTCTGAGATTGAAGGTTTGTATCCAGCAGTGAAGGAAGAAGAAAGAAGAGCGATTGTGGTGCTTTGCATTCAGCGAGGAGAAACGATTCATTCATCACCAGCATGAGTCAGAACCATTGATACAATGTAGGAGGGAGACATGCTTTTACTGTGTTATTGCCAAATTCTGACCCTGCTATTCAAATGCGGTGGCAGAAATGGAGCCTCATCAGACCAGGCAACGTTTTCTAATCGTCTAGCCTCAGCTTTCTGTTCTTAGCTGATAGGAGTGACACCCAGTGTGGTCTTCTGTTTCTGTAGCCCAGATGCAGATATCTTGGCTGGACACGCTCTGTGTTTTGAAATACTCCTCTGCATACCCTGGATATTGGGTATAAGTTGTTATTTGATATACTGTTGCCTTCATATCAACTCAAATCAGTCTTGCTATTCTCTTGATGGCATTTTCACCCAGATAACTGAGGCTTACTGGATATTTTCAAACAATTTTCTGTAAACACAAGAGATGCTTGTGTTGGGAAAATCCCAGCAGTTTCTCAAATACTCAGAGCACATGCAGTCACTTATATCGTCATTCTGTATCCATCGAGTGAACTGCATTGTGAGTACGGTACAGGTACAGTTTTATAAATCTGATAATGGAAAGTGTAAAACTCAGCAGTAAGTACTGCCACATGTTTGCTCTTTTCCAAGGGCATTTGTTTTGGCTGCTGCATTTGGGAGTTAGCGGTTGGGTCAAATACATATTTGCAGAAAATCCTCCAGCTTCCCGCTCTCTGACGCCTACGGTAGAGTTTTTGTTAAACTGCCATGCCGCTAATGATTCATATGAGTTTGTGTTTGTGGTTCATAGACGGTGCTTTCTTGGCCCGGCAGAAAGCCAAGGCTGATGCGGAGTTCTACACGGCTCAGCGAGCGGCTGAGGCCAATAAGGTAAAGACACAAACACATATTGTGGTTGACAAATGTGGGCTGCAAAATTACCTTCCTTCACTGGAATCCTGTCGCTCCCTCTCACAGCTCAAGCTAACACCAGAGTACCTGCAGCTGATGAAATACAAGGCCATCGCAGCCAACAGCAAAATCTACTTTGGGAGCGACATACCACAGATGTTTGTGGACTCTGGCTCAGCAGGGAGCTCCATCAAGGCCTCGGCAGCCATGGACATTGTTGCCGAGCACATCATGGACCTGGATTAGGCAGGAAAGTAGTGGCACCTGCTGGAATGTTCAAAGGCAGAGCACTATCAGCTGAAGGAGATCTGCCTACTGCGGGTCTGTACTTCTCAACACATCTGAATTACTGCTAGGAATCCCTGTTCTCCAGCCTCAGAGCAGACAACATGAGCATTCGCTCTGTCCTGATGGCCACTGAAGTCCTCTAAACACGGTGTGATTAAAATCCGTTATTGTCATTTAGCAAAATAAGAATTTAAAAACTTGTCCTTGCTACTGCTGCTGCTCAGTTTTTGATTTTTTTATGGTCTGTGCATCAAGCCTACGTAGCCAAAGCATCAAGGATCCCAAATCCATCAATACTTTGTTTGTACCATCCATTCCACTAAAGTAATGGCTGTATTCCTCAAGCATGCCCACAGCCAACAATGTCAAAGGTTGTTCTTTTTAAAGGGTACCTTTAAACACTGCCCGTCTCTATGGGGAAGTCAGCTGATTGGTCTCATTCATGTCAGGGTAGATAAACATGCTTTAATTAGTTTTTGATACGGTCATTATTTAAAAAGCAAAATAACCATCACAAAGCAGGTTGAGCGTTTGGGTGAATGTTCTGCAGAAACCGTGCTGTTACTCAGTTACGTGTTTTACATTTCCACACAGACTGTAATCAAGAGTGTTTTTTTTCTCTGCTCTCTGCCTGAAAGACGGACCAAATGTGTCTCTGAGGATGAATGTACTGAGGTAGCTGTTCACTGTCACATTTGACAACATCACTGGATTGCTGCAGTTTGTTTTTTCAACTTGTTTTGAACGCTGGATTTGTGCACCTGTGTGAAGTTGTTATATATTTTCTGTATACGTGTTTCTCACATTGAATAACTGATTAAGAGACTATTTGTTTCTGGAGTTTTCTTCTTCTTTTTCCACCTCCACTGTGAAAGAAACCAAAGTATTCATGTGTGACATCAGCTTCTCACAAAACTATTAAGCAAAATTTTTATGCAACCAATTTCGTGGGCGTCCTGTAAGACTCTTCATAAGACAAGAATTAATAATTGCCTTTTAGTATTTGGTGGCGTGACGCAGCTGTGGAGGAGGAACACTCTAGGATGTAGTAATGATGACGAGTTTTTAACCATCCAGAAATTCAGTCTGTAGTTTTCCGTTACTCACTTCAGTGATCTTATAAACGTCATACGATCCAGTGATTCTGAAAACAATCTGTTGGGAAATCTTCATGAGTCCACGTTGAGTCATCTCTGAGGTTTTACAGCCAGGACGGTTTGCAGAATGCACGACTGAGCGCTGATAACCATGTGCTTAAATTTCCAAAGAACCAATTGGTGTGAAGGACCGACTGGTTTAGGGGAATTGGCGTGCTCGGTATAAGCAGCGTCACTGTGAGCAAATATTTCTTTAGGCCAGGAGCCAAATGGCGTTTTTACAAAAAGTTATGATTATTTTAAGATTTTCCGTAATCTGATTCGTCTGTCATTTTTTAATTTCTTGTAGCTATATCTTCACATTCATGTGTTAGTGGACACACTTTTAAAGAAAGTGGACCACTTTGCTATCAGTGATGTTTTTCAAAGGGACTAGCACCCACCCACGCAAATGTTTTTGTACTGACTTCAGCTGTGAATGTACAATCAAGGCATTGTCTTCTGATAATAAAGTACTGTGTTTTCTTCTTTGCAGTTTAGTGTATAAGATTTATATATTTATATATTAAAACTGGTTTTAGATTTGGCCCCAGGGCTGAAATTTGGGTGACGCTTTCTTTTAAGAAGTTTGAGTTTTCAATATAAAGTTTCCTCTAATCTCTTAAAATGTGATTTGTTTGTTGTTGTTTTTGTGTTTGTTTGTTTGTTTGTTTGTTTGTTTGTTTTTCACTGTTTTTAACCTTCTACTGCATGACTTTTTAATTTTTTGGGAAAAAAACATTTCTCATTTTGGGGGAGCTTTAGGGCCCCTAATAATATATCAATCATAAAATTTGACACATTTGACCCTAACCCCATGATCGTGCGCAAACACACACACACATGTTGTGTTTCCATCCCTTTTGGGGACATTACATTAACTTACATTCATTTCCTGGAGACTTATCCTGGCCCTTCCCATCACAACTGGAATATTTCTAACATTTTGAGTTATTTTCAGCACTGCTCAGTGTCAGTCATTGTTAATCTTCAAAACTGACTAGGTTACTTTTAAAAATATAACACTGTCAAAAGTGTTCATTTAACACTCAACAGTGTTGTATTTAACACTCAGAGGAGTGGACCCATATACACACTCTCTAGTGTTAATTTAACACTGGAGATTTTGCTGTGTTACAATTTGCAAGACCGCACAATGTGAGTGTGTAAACAAATTTGTGTCCCAACAACAATAAGTAATACACGACCACAGACACAGTTACTTTACCAACTGACCAACTAAGTGTCCCTCAAACCTGATTCAGGGATCCACTACTTCACTGTCACTCCCTGAAAGCTCACTGTCCTCACTTTCTGAGGACAGAAAGTGCACATTCCCTTGGTTTCCTTCCATAAAAGGTTTTTACATCCATGTCCTGTAATTATGAGTAGATTGTAAAGTAAAAAACATTGACTATGATCATATAAATGCACACAAACACATCTCTACACACATATGCAATGCATTATATTGCCTGAAAAAAATTAGGCTAACTGCGCAGTGTTGCCTTGAGGCAACGAATGAAAATGAACAGTTTTACTGTATAAATAAATTTTAAAAAGTAGAACAAACAATCAAATATGCTTCTTAACATATTCATGCACATACAAGTATTTTTATATACATTTATTTCACTATAAACATGTAAAATTGTGATCTTTATCTTGCCTCCTAATGGAGATGTCGCTCGTAGTGCAGCTTGCAGAAAGTCACACCACCTTCAACTCATCATTTTATTGGAAAGAGATGTAGCATTATTTGAAGAAAAAAAAAAGGTTGTTTTGTTTTGTTTTTTGAAGGGCCAGTGTAAGGCATGAACATGTGGTTTGTTGCCTCAGGGCAACGCTATGCAGCGGAGGGTTAAAGAGTCTTCTAGAATAAAAATCAAGTTTTGTGTAAGTTCCAGGGAAGGAGAAAGGAGTGACATTTAGTTGCTCGATGAGGCGGGGGTGAATTACATGGGAACCACACTAATGAGGCTTTAAAATGCAGGCTCTTTTTCCCTTTTATTTTCCTTCTCTTTTTATTTTCTTTCCCCAAAAGAATCAAAGCTTAGAAACAAGCCACAATGGCTTTTATATACACAGATTTGTATTTTGAATTGAATTCCAAAGGACTGTTTGAGGAACACTTGCTTTGGAGAGGACCGCTGTTATGTCACAAAGTGTGAATGTGAAGAAGCCTCTGTGTTGTAGATTTGCTGAAGAAATGTTTAAGTAAAGCTCCATCACTACTTTATACGTGGGAGAGCATACGACGCCAGCGAGCAGAGAAGCGGAGGGAGCTGTTCTGCTGCTGGAATAGCAACGAGGCCAGATCGCGCTACGGTGGGGAATAGGGGCAGCGGGACAGCGCCCTACCTCCCACGGCGAGACGGGTGGTGCCGATTGGCGTGCTACAGGAAAGCGGCGGGCAGAGATGCCCATCCGGGCACGCCGGAAGCATGAGACACTGATAGGACGGCGAGGACGCCGCCGGGTTTCCCCTTCTGCTCTGATTGGCTGGATTTTTAACTTTTAGTGACTTTTACGCCGTGGCGGACGCCACTGGACTTTTAATGTTTGTGTTTTATTGATTTTTATTGTGTGTTTTCCCTGGCCAGGGTTGTTTTAATTCCTTTTACATTTTTAACTGTTTTTGTTTAATAAATTATATTTTAGTGAGGTAATTTTTAATTCAGTCTATTCCCTTGGCTGCTCCACAGCTCTATCCGTTTTTGTGAGGGTTTCCCTCCTTTAATAATGTCAATAATATTCACTATACACCAAATTGTTCCTCTTGACTCTATCGTGGCCATTTTTGGCCAATTGAAACCCATTATAACCACCTTTTTTGATTCCTTGTTATTGACAGTACTATATCATGCGATTTAGGTAAAATTGCTTTCATTCTAAACTCAACACATGAAAATTGTAGTTTTTAATGTTTTTTACCAAATTACATCATTTACCCATTTTTGGCCAAACAAGCAATTTCATGTAATATTCCTGAGTTTCTAGTAGCGGCATTTGATGGCCTACCACACTCCAATGGACCAAAATAATGAAACAATTTTGACGTAGACTGGAATAAATAATGACGCATCAAACATTACATAGGCTGCAGTGAATTTCTGTGGATGCAGGATATTGAGCTTTGAGGTTCCCAGTCAAACTTAGCTTTGAAGCACATGTTAAAAGCACTTTTACTCTTGTATTTTTCATAAAAAGATACCATACCCAAAATATTAACTCTAGAAACAAAAACAAAAAACCCAATCACAGGACATTTTGCAGAGTTCAAACCTGCAGCTGCAGCCAAACAACAACAAACACTGTTTGTAAACGTGTCCTGGAGTTTATGCAGGTGCAGACAGAGCTACTGCTGTAAGTAAGCCTAACAGCTTCCAGATCATTTATTCTGGCATTATGGCAAGAAGGTCATCACTGCTTCAAGCACTGTCTATATGATCTGGTCAGAGAGCAAGGACAGCAAGCAGTCCTCTGCCCTTGAAGAAAAGACATCTGCCCAAGATGAAGAAACTTCCTCTCCAGAAGATGAGGGGACAATCTCCAAAGAGGCTGACTGCATCACCACTGATGATGAGTACTAGCCAGTGCCTGAATCCTCTTCTTTGGGGGAGGATTGGGGTTGGGGGCATGGAGGTGGAGGCCGAGCAGCTGATGGAAAAGAACATAGGAGCATTTTCTGAGACCGAGGAGCCGGTGACTGAGGGATCCTGAGGTGCCTATGTCCCTCCATTGCACAAGGAAAAACCATCTGTGGCGTTCCCATTCATAGACCACGTGCTTCATCACACGTACCACGAGATCGGTCTAAATCTCATAATAGCGTTCAAGAGAGGCTACACCCTGTATGCGAGGTTCCCTGCACTTAAAGCAGCCAATAGATAGATCTTACTTCTATGCTTTTTATATAAACAAAGGAGATCCTTTTAGACTGCCTGTAGCACCTCTTCATAACCTTTCACGGGAAGTGCGAAGGTGTTAGAGGACTAATATAGATTGAAGTGGGAGATGGAGCCTAAACCAGAATAAAGCAATACATAGCATGTTGGATGACAACACTGGAAGTTCTCAGGAAGTAAAAAAGGGAAAGGGGTTCAGACTCCAACTGACGGAGGAGCTCCGAGGACAACGTCTTAGTCACTCCTCAAATGAAAACTGGCACAGGGGAAACAACCCAGAGCTTCCTCCCCAGCTCCTCCAGTTGCAACAGAGGAAGATTTTGTTGTCTGTCTTTGGCTTCACCAAAACTACCACGAGCAATATCCCACATGCCAAAGCAACGGAGGAATGTGCTTCTTTTGACAGCAACACACAAGGAACCAGCAGTCAGTGATGGGGAATAAAGGATGCGTGAAAGCAAGAAGCAATCCTGGACTACAATAGGCACAAATACAGCTTGGATAACTTAGAGAGGATGTTGGCACCTCGAGTTGTTGAAGGAAAACTAACTGACTGCTGGCTCTTTTCTCCAATCTCCTGGATGTCTTGGGATACGATGTCTTTGTCCCGCCGGAAACAACTTCTAATTTCAGTGGCTATTTGGTCATTAAATTGTCTTTCTGGCCACTAACACACCATTTGTGATTTTCTTTTTGGCCATTCACCCCCCCAATCATTGTTACTGTTACTGACCTGCAATAATGATAAAAAAAAATATTAGGTTTCATCATTCATATGCTAAAAAATGTGAACTTTATTACTATTTTCCCCAAAACGTAGTTATAATACATAATCTGACTGGTATTCAAAGGATATAATATCTGAATTTGAATAATATTTTGGTTTTCATGACTAAAATGGTGCTAATTTAAAAAATCAAGTCAATGAAAGTAGAAAAATGTTTTAATATATATTAATTTTATAGTATTCAGTAAACATAAACAGGGGGTGGCCATTTTTGGCCACCACGAACAATCTGAGAGGGAGTTTTTCTGTTTTTCTGTCACTGCACAAAAAAACAAAGATGTATAAAAGTCACTGATACTGTTAATTATTGCTATACATCTAACCTCCACCATGGGTAGATAATAAATCAGATGGCATGTTTTATTTGGGGGAAAAAATGGGGTTTTATGATTTTTTCCATTTATGAGTTCCTAGGATTATGTGATCTAACTGGTATTTAAAGGGTTAAAATTCTGAATTTGAATGAAATTTTGGTCTTGATGAACAGCACTGATGCTAATCTAAAAAATCAAGTAAAAAAATTGGAAATTTTTCTTAATATATGAATTTTATAGCATTTTGTAAATGTAAACAAGGGGTGGCCATTTTTGGCCACGAACAAGCTGAGAGGGAGTTTTTATGTTTTTGCTCTCTCTGCACAAAAATAACAATGCATTATAATCAATGTTGATGTGAATCAATTACATGCCCCAGACTCTACTATTAATAATACAAGAAATTTCAGTAGCAATGCAATTATATAAAATTGCGAGATTTGAGGTTGTCTTCCAGTGGACAAACAAACTGGTGTTTAAAGGGTTAAATTAAAAAGTAATAATTATTTTATATTTATGAAAAGAACTGAAGTTAGTTAAATTATAATGTCAGGCAGAGAGGCGTGCAGTCTTACACGCCTCTCTGCAGCTTCTCTCCTCCTGCTACCCCCCCCAAAAAACTCTCCTTTATAAGAACCGCAAAGCCAGAACATCTTACTATTCATCACTGATTGAAGAAAATAAGAACAACCCCAGGTTTCTCTTCAGCACTGTAGCCAGGCTGACAAAAAGTCAGAGCTCTTTTGAGCCAACCATCCCTTTAACGTTAACTAGTAATGACTTCATGAACTTCTTCACAAATAAAATTTTTATCATTAGAGAAAAAATTACCATAATCATCCCACAGATGTAATATTATCTACAGCTACTCTTAGTACCATTGATGTTAAGTTAGACTCTTTTTCTCCAATTGATCTTTCTGAGTTAACTTCAATAATTACTTCCTCCAAACCATCAACGTGTCTTTTAGACCCCATTCCTACAAAACTGCTCAAAGAAGTCCTGCCATTAATTAATTCTTCGATCTTAAATATGATCAACCTATCTCTAATGATCGGCTATGTACCACAGGCCTTCAAGCTGGCTGTAGTTAAACCTTTACTCAAAAAGCCATCTCTAGACCCAGCAGTCTTAGCTAATTATAGGCCAATCTCCAACCTTCCTTTCATATCAAAAATCCTTGAAAGAGTAGTTGTCAAACAGCTAACAGATCATCTGCAGAGGAATGGCTTATTTGAAGAGTTTCAGTCAGGTTTCAGAGCTCATCACAGCACAGAAACAGCTTTAGTGAAGGTTACAAATGATCTTCTTATGGCCTCTGACAGTGGACTCATCTCTGTGCTTGTCCTGCTAGACCTTAGTGCAGCATTCGATACTGTTGACCATAATATCCTATTAGAGCGATTAGAACATGCTGTAGGTATTACAGGTACTGCGCTGCAGTGGTTTGTATCATATCTATCTAATAGACTCCAGTTTGTGCATGTAAATGGAGAGTCCTCTTCACACACTGAGGTTAATTATGGAGTTCCACAGGGTTCAGTGCTAGGACCAATTCTGTTTACATTATACATGCTTCCCTTAGGCAGCATCATTAGAAGACATAGCATACATTTTCACTGCTATGCAGATGACACCCAGCTCTATCTGTCCATGAAGCCAGATAACACACACCAATTAGTTAAACTGCAGGAATGTCTTAAAGACATAAAGACCTGGATGGCCGCTAACTTTCTGCTTCTTAATTCAGATAAAACTGAGGTTATTGTACTCGGCCCTGAAAATCTTAGAAATATGGTATCTAACCAGATTCTTACTCTGGATGGCATTACCTTGGCCTCCAGTAACGCTGTGAGGAACCTTGGAGTCATTTTTGACCAGGACATGTCCTTCAACGCACATATTAAACAAATATGTAAGACTGCTTTCTTCCATTTGCGCAACATCTCTAAAATTAGAAATATCCTGTCTCAGAGTGACGCTGAAAAACTAGTTCATGCATTTATTACTTCCAGGCTGGACGACTGTAATTCATTATTATCAGGATGTCCAAAAAACTCACTGAAAAGCCTTCAGCTAATCCAAAATGCTGCAGCAAGAGTCCTGACAGGGACTAGAAAGAGAGAGCAGATTTCTCCTGTTTTGGCTTCCCTTCATTGGCTTCCTGTTAAATCCAGAATTGAATTCAAAATCCTGCTCCTCACATACAAGGTCTTAAATAATCAGGCCCCATCTTATCTTAATGACCTTGTAGTACCATATCACCCTATTAGAGCACTTCGCTCTCGCTCTGCAGGCCTACTTGTTGTTCCTAGAGTATTTAAAAGTAGAATGGGAGGCAGAGCCTTCAGTTTTCAGGCCCCTCTTCTGTGGAACCAGCTTCCAGTTTGGATTCGGGAGACAGACACTATCTCTACTTTCAAGATTAGGCTTAAAACTTTCCTTTTTGCTAAAGCATATAGTTAGGGCTGGACCAGGTGACCCTGAATCCTCCCTTAGTTATGCTGCAATAGACGTAGGCTGCCGGGGATTCCCATGATGCATTGAGTTTTTCCTTTCCAGTCACCTTTCTCACTCACTATGTTTAATAGACCTCTCTGCATTGAATCATATCTGTTATTAACCTCTGTCTCTCTTCCACAGCATGTCTTTATCCTGTTTTCCTTCTCTCACCCCAACCGGTCGCAGCAGATGGCCGCCCCTCCCTGAGCCTGGTTCTGCCGGAGGTTTCTTCCTGTTAAAAGGGAGTTTTTCCTTCCCACTGTCGCCAAAGTGCTTGCTCATAGGGGGTCATATGATTGTTGGGTTTTTCTCTGTATCTATGAAGCGCCTTGAGGCGACTTTTGTTGTGATTTGGCGCTATATAAATAAAATTGAATTGAATTGAATTGAATTGAATTAAAAAAAAAATGAAGTTACTTAAAAGCTTTATGCAGAAAAAATGGCAAAAAACAAAACAAAACATAAAAATAATAAAAATTACAGACCTAATCTGTTGGTGGCCACTTTTGGCCACGAACAAGCTGAAAGGGTAGTGATTTTGAACAAGCCCAGAATAACACATATGTTAAATCAAAATCACATTCCACCGTTACATAAAGCACCTCAAGTCTAAATATGCGTAACGAGAACACGCTCTTGAGAAGGTATGAAAAAAGGAAAAACAAGAAAATAAATCGTTTTTATTCCTGTCGGTGCACATTTATAGACCCTGAGAGCCATGTGCGCACAGTGAAGCCACCAGCAGCCATCGCAGCGGGCGTCATCGGAGGAGTGGATGGCTGGGGAAAAAAGAAAAAGTGACAGTCCTGTCTCAGAATTCCCCTTTAATCCCAGCACTGAAATCTGAGGATTTACTTCACCTTTTCACAAGAAACGAAGCTCCACCCACAGCATCGTGTCTCTCTCTGTGGAGCAGCTCTAAGTTACTTCTCCGGGAAGAAAAACATTTAAAGGAGGATACAGATCCTTTTAGAGCATCTGGTCAAAACGGCCGCACGCATGAGAGGATGTAGAGGACGAGACTATGGTTAGAAGGTCGTGATGGTCGTACCCTGCACTGAGTATGGAGAGGCACAGGCGCCTGTCCTCCTGGGGCTGTGGGAGTATGTGAAGAGCGGACAGGAGGACGTGCTCCGCTCACCGTACCTGCCCGCGTCTTTTGCGTTCCTGGCGCACGTGCTGCTCTGCGTACCTTTCCTCGCGCTGGATGCGCTGGGGAGCGTCTGTCAGCGGGTTCGGTCATGGAGGATGACCGCGGGCTCGGGTCCGCCGCCGTCTCTGAGCCGATGGTTAGAGTGTTTCTGCAGGGTTTTGTATAAATACGTGACCGTGGTCCTGCCCGTCACTGCGCTCTTCAACACCCTAATAAACCTCAAGTTACCTGATGTGGCCCCCAGCTGCTGGCAGCTCTGCGTGGAGGTGGTGGCATGCCTGCTGCTTTTTGACATGCTCTTCTTCATGTGGCACTACGTCATGCACAGGTGAGCAGCACGCGCATTTGTTGGGCTTCCTTCCTCCCCCAACATGAACCCGGGTTTAAAAGAAGACATTCGGTCCAGCGGGCTGCTTGTGAGGTCCTGAGGGTTTGTCTGCACCAGTCTGCTGCTGCTTAACGCTTTATTTATTTTTGAAATGTGCTTTACACAGAAATGATAACATTTGGCATCCCTTCACAAAACACACACACCTATTGTAACCTGACAGACACATGTTTTTTTATTAGACAAGAATCAAATAAAACATAACAGCTCCGTCCCGAGGGAAGAAGCTGAAAATTCACCCTATAGAGGACGGGAACCATTTTTAATAATTGATAAAGCCATCCTTACCTGTTTAGAGTACAGGGAGGCTAAACATGGCTGTGACTCACCTATCAGACGACTGGACCATCTCACTATCTGATTCAGTGAGTTTTTCTCTGTAACAGAGGTCTGACCGAACCATGGCACCAAAAAAAAAAAGGTAAAACGGACTCAATAAAAGAACGATAAAACAAAGTTCAAATTGTTCAATGTGGAAACGAGCAAGTTTCCTGAGGCAGTAAAGGTGCTGGTGACCCTTTTTGCAGACCGATTTGCAATTTTAATCACAATTCAGTTTTTCGTTTATTACGGTCCTGAGATATTTATATGATTGCACTTGCTCTATTTTCTGACCTTTTAAACAGCAGACCAGAGAGAAAACAAGAGAGTCCGCTGATGGCTAAAGCTAGATACTTGTTGTACATTTTAAGGACTGATTTCGGTTTTTTTGTCCTACAAAGGATTTTCTTGCGTTAGAAAGAATGTAAACCACTTCGCCAGAAGTGTCCAGCATGAACTCCAGCTTCCCAGTAACAGTATCTTTATTCACATCATTCCCATATAAAATCAGTGTTGGGTTCCTGATCTTTGCCCTTGTTAAATCACTTGTGTGGCTAATAGCTGTAGCACTGGCTCTAACAGTGCCAGTTAAAGTACCAGTAGCCCTCGTTTTCTGTTTTTGTCTGTAGATATTATATAATTCTGACTTCTGAGAACTTTCCAGCAGAGGCGGAGCCAGACATTTGAAACACCAGGGGCTTAGCCCTAAAGGGTAGTATGCATGTGGGGGGGTGAAAGATTAATAGGCTCTGTTTTGAGTTTTGTTCAAAAAGAAATGACTTCATATAGGGAAAAATATATATCACATGTGCAGGACACCTTAAACTAGTTTTTTAATTAAGCAGCAAGGCAGAACAAAGTCGGGGCTGCATCAAGACACGAGGACTAAACCCCGATTCAACCAGACCCAGAACTGATCCGGAATTAAAACAGGACTACAGCAGTTCAAAATCAGGACTACTGAGCACTTAACCAAGACAGAACCAGAATCAGAACTAGATGATAGTAGCACTAAAAATCATCATAGACCTGCACTACACTTATTTTTTTAATTCTACCAAAGTCCAACTATTTAGATTGAGAAAAGTTTATATAATTATTTAGCCTTGTTGTGCAAACAAGCCTGCATAACTTAATAAATTAGAATTTGAAAAATAAGCAAACCTAAAAAGAAACACTAGGTACGAGATACATGAGGACCTATGATACGGTGATACTTTTGGTAAACAACCATTTGACTAACATGTGTGTCTCACCTGCTCTTGTTCATCTCTGTTCTGTCCTCATTCTCCTCTCTCTCCCTCTCTGTCTCTCCCCTTGTGCTGACAATCATCAAATATACAGTTGAAACCAGATATTTACAAACTCTTCAGATCAAAACACAAACACTTTTTTAATTGTAACATCAAATCAGACTAAATGTTTATTTTTTTAGATTGATAAATATAAAAAACATATTTGTTAACTTTAAGAGTAAAGAGAGAAACTATCTGTATTTCTTAATTGCAAATGGCACCAAATTGTATTCAAACTGAGCCACACTTATGGAGCTCCACAGTTCTTTTCCTGGTGTTTTGGTTGACATCTCTTGATGTTCCCATGTCACAGAAACAGGCTCTGTGTTTTGCCTTATATGCATCCACAGCTGTGCCACCAGTTTACTCACATGGACTCTACTAACCTATCAGAAGCTTCTTCAGCTCAGAATGGAATCGTCTGGAGTTTTCTTATTAATTAACAATAAACTTAGTGTACATGTACTCCTAAATTTGATGAAAGTGATAAAAAACAGACAGCTCTGTCTCTCTTTATTCTGACATTTAACTAATTCAAAAGATATTTCAATATTTATTTATCCAAAACAAAACAAGTTTACTCTAAATTGATGTTGTACAGTAAAAAAATGTTCTTGTGTTTTCCATAAAGTGTATGTAAATATCTGGTTTAAACTGTGAATATACTGCTGTGTATTGAAGTTCCTCTTGTTTTGCATAGAAATATACTGAACAACATACAAAGCATAATATATAAAATACATCTACCAGAGTTTTTTCTTTGAAAGAAGCCCCTTATGTCCATTCTTGTATATCAGTGCATTACTGAAACCGATTTATTTAGCCGTGGAGGGTAACAACTGAAAATATGAAATAAACACACATGTAAGCTAAGACTCTCTAAAGAAACAGCATTGTTGTTGTTCGGCTTTTCATTTCGCCATTTGTTGATTCACTTGAAGAGCAAGTAACGTAATATGGGTCAAGTGATCAGTTTAACATCAATCTTTTGTGATTCACCGTCATATTTACATTATTTGTACAGTATGAATGATTTGCTTTGGTACCTGGTCAAACTTCAGTTCTTGTCTGTCTGCCTGGCTCTGTTTCTCCAACAGCCACTCGCAGGCAGCAGCTGCCCCGCCCGCTTAGTGCCTGAGCTCGGATCATACCAGTATTAGGGGGGATTTACGCACAGTCATAAATTCCCACAGTGTGCACTATGTGCTTCGAATATTGTGTGTATTTTATTTTCTTTTTTTGCTTTATACAGTTGTCAGCCAGGCATCTAACTATGAAAAAATTACACTCCAAAAGACCCCGGGCTTCTGAAAAAACAACCCGGGCTTAAGCCCAGTATGCCCCCCCGCTCCGCCACTGCTTTCCAGTAATTTTCCATTACAGCACCACTGTAACCATAATCGGTGTGTGGGTTTTCATCCTTAGAGTTTCCTGGCTGTACCGCAACATCCACCAGATGCACCACCAGCACCACACTCCCTTCGCTCTGGCAGCTCAGGACTGCAGCTCGGCCGAGCTGTTGTCTCTACTGTTGCTGTCTCTGAGCAGCGCCTGGATGGTGGGATGTCACCCTCTCAGCGAGGCCCTCTTCCACCTCATCAACACCTGGCTTGCCGTGGAGGACCACTGCGGCTACGACCTGCCCTGGGCTCTGCACAGACTGCTGCCCTGTCTGGGAGGAGCCCCCCACCACCACGCACACCACAGTTTGCAAACCATAAATTACGCCCCTCTCTTCACGCACTGGGACCACCTCTTTGGAACGTATCGCGCATCGGTGCTGAATTCACGTCCGCAGTGACAAGCCTGTTGCATTTTTTTTCTCAGATTCAATGAAGGATGTTATCTTTTGGCTGATGTTAACGTGTAATCTCACTGTTCGCTCATTTATTACTACACATGTCGCAATCAATAATACAATACAATCACAACTGATACTTTATGTATGTAACCACTGTATCGTAGGCTGTAAGTGAAGACCCCCAGCATTTTCACCTTTGTCGCCAGAGCTTTCAGGGACTGTCGGAGACTGGAGCTGATTGTGAAACTAAGCACCGGATGCTGACTGCTCCAGCCGGTGTACCCTGATTCATCCTTCTTTATGACTCAATCACATACAAAATGAGCTGGGTCAGTAAAGTCATCAAGAAAGCATTTGCTCTGGTTACAGAGCAATGGAGCCAAAGACTGTTTACAGACACTGTGCCATGCAACTACAAGTCTTTATGCAACAAGAGGAGCCTGCCCCCTGCTGGCTTGTTTCAGAACTTATAAACTGAGCTATGGACAGGAAATCAGATCACCTTTACCTTGGGGAAAAAAACAATGAGCCATTGTACTTATGCTGAAGCGAGACATGTTTCATGCAACTGAAAATGCACCCCACCCCCACCCCCACATATTCTCATAAGCTCGGACTTTTTAATGTGGCCAGTATATTGTTATTGTACAGCGGATAACAATCACGGCGAGGAGATCTGGACACATTTCAGATCCCCCACATCCAAAACAGAAGACTTAATTAAAAACTAAACTGAAACAAGTAAACCGGTCCAGGCAGAGCAAATTCAAGTGCAAGCTTTGCTTTTTGAACTCTAAATGCATTTAGACTGAAAATCTTTAGACAGATCAGCTATTTTGTGAGGAAAAGGTATATATTTTAAGTAGGCTTAGTTAGACACCTATATATTTTATTTTTCCTGTTACATTCAGGGCCTGTTTATGAGTGATTGTAAAGTTGTGTTGGAAATCTGCCCGACTGCTGTAGTGAATGAAAGCAGGACACAGCCTGGGGTTTTTTGCCTCAGGCTCATGTTTCCACCGTGCTGCTGCAGTTAGTCATTTGTATAGCACATTTTGAGCCTTTCAGTAATCAGTTATATGCTCTGCTAACACGGTTCCTTGGTGCCTAGAAGAAAGGTCTGTTTTTTCCATGGTTTCTGCAGTTGCAATTTTCAGCTGGCATCATGTCACCAGCTACCTGAGGATCCTTTACATATAACAAATAGAGAGTTTGTCAAGACTCTTGCATTTCACAGCAGTGTTAAGTCTAGCCATTATTTATGGCCCATTATCACAAGTTTGCCTTAAGGGAATACAGTGCCTGTAACACACCATGCTTACAGGCAAGCAAGAGGGAGGCAGAGTCAGTGTTGCAATCTTCAGGATGGCAAAAGAAAGGGATGCAAACAGTAATGAGAAGTATAAGTAGGTGAGCCTGTTTATGATTTTGGAAGGAGCACGGCTTACATAATGAATCAAGCATGTCATTCACAAGCAAGAGCAGTGTCGATAGTAAAGATGAAATCTCTTCCAAAGAAGCTAAAATACAGATCAAAACAATGGGAGTGAGGCAAAGGGAAAATAAAGGAAGTTCTCGGGAAGACTCGTGTTCAAAGGCAGGCAAAGATGGCAAGAGAAAAGAGGCACATACAGCTTGCATGCACATGTGCTTAAAAGACATGTTTAAGGGGCCAAATACAATTTATAGAGCAGGGGGTGAAACATAAGCCCTCAGGACACAAATCCTTCAAAAAAGACTCCAATCTAGCCCACCGGCAGCTTTGAAAATGTGAACAAGGGCACACATTTTGGAATTTCTGACTGTATTTTCAAATCAAATCAAATCAAATCACTTTTATTGTCACATCACATGTGCAGGTACATTGGTACAGCACATGTGAGTGAAATTCTTGTGTGCGAGCTTCACAAGCAACAGAGTTGTGCAAAATACAATAATGTAAACAAGCAAAATACAAGAATGGCTACATCTGAAACTAATAAATATATGTACAATATATAATAGTATATGCATTTCTGGATGTGTATACTAAATATTTTTCTGTGTGTGTGTGTGTGTGTGTGTACACATATTTTACAAATTAAATAGAGTAAACAATAAATAAAATATATAAAAATATACAGAGTTGAGACATGTGCAAAACAGTGGCATTACTGTACAGTATGGAGTGCATAATGTTAAAGTTCCAGTAGTGAAGCTGAGGTGTCTATGACGTGTTCAGCAGTCTGATGGCCTGATGGAAGAAGCTGTCTCTCAGTCTGCTGGTACGGGACCGGATGCTGCAGAACCTCCTTCCTGATGGAAGCAGTCTGAACAGTTTATGGCTGGGGTGACTGGAGTCCTTGATGATCCTCCCCGCTTTCCTCAGGCAGCGCTTCCTGTAGATGTCTTGGAGGGAGGGAAGCTCACCTCCAATTATCCGTTCAGAGCACCGCACTACTCGCTGGAGAGCTTTGCGGTTGTAGGCGGTGCTGTTGCCATACCAGGTGGTGATGCATCCAGTGAGGATGCTCTCAATGGCACAGTGATAGAAGGTCCTGAGGATGCGGGGGCTCATGCCGAATCTTTTCAGTCTCCTGAGAAAGAAGAGGCGCTGCTGCGCCTTCTTCACTGTTTTGTTTGTGTGTACTGACCACGTAAGATCCTCAGCCAGATGTACACCAAGGAACCGGAAGCTGCTCACTCTCTCCACAGCAGCGCCGTTGATGGTGATGGGGGTACTTATCTGTCTGCGAAGTCCACACAAAATGTAAGATCCTCATGTTCTCCTTTTGTTTATAAACCGAATGGGTTTACTCGTGTTATTAAGAGCTGCTAACCTTCTGCACGACACGTCCAAGTCGCAGTTGATTGCATTTGAGAAAAGTAAAGAACGGTGATGGGGGTGTCATGCTAGCTGTAGAATGTTCATGACGTGGGAAAGAAAAACAAGTTGGCTAACTCGGAAAGTCATCTACATATCAATCTTACAAATATATAGTCTACTGCCAGTTAGATAACGTTGTAGAGGTGAACGAGATGGATGTTAGTCTTTGTTTACCGTTGGATTATATAGATAGATTTATTCTAAGTGGAGTGTGTCTCGCAATCGACCATTCATCAATTCCTGTCTACAGGGTACAGTGTTGGGTGCGATATTTCAATTAATCATACATGATTTAATGTAGTTGTGAATAAATGTACACACTATACAACTTACTGTAGTAGATCCTGATCCTTGCTACACAATAAGACTCATTATATAACTGCAATTGTATTTAATATACGGAAGTATATGAATTAGTGGCTAGTGTTGTTCTGAGTCGGTGAGTGTATTCGAGTAAGTGAGTAACGGAGAGAGGTTCAGTAACAGAGCAACCCTGTGTTGGGTCGCATCTGTTTATGACGTAGCTTTTGCGACATTGTTGGTGTTGGTAGTGTGCAATGGAGGTAACTGAACGTCGCCTGACTTCTTGGCTTCGAAACTACAAGAACACGAAGTGGCAAGATATGTAGCTATAGATAGGCAAGGAAGGCGTATACTTCAATAAGGTTTTTGTTCTTATGGTCTCTACTCCATTCTGTAAAGATGGTGAGGTGCTACGTGTGTCAGTTCTACTCTGTAGAGTCTATTGGAACGGACGTTATCCTGGTAACAGCTTATGCTGCACACGACTATCTGAAGAAAGTCATATTGATGTGTGTGGATGTGAGTGTGCAAGATGCTCTAGAGTACTTGACATGTCCATAGCAAGACACGCTAGTTCGATCTTATACATACGTGCTCTATCTTGCTCGGGCATAGGCATGAATGACAAGAGGAAGATGTCAGTGTGTAGTAGTCGAAGATGCTTATGTTCCAGAGCACTCAAATGAATAGGTAACTGTAAGTGGTAGGTCGTTTAGATGAAGGGGGAGAGAAAAATATGGTTAGGAGTCCAGATGAAGTACGGCAGTACGTGCAAAAAGAGACATAAGAACTAGCAGAATAGATAGATCCTGTTGAACCCAGGCTTCTCGAAGCATTTGCTTACGATGGGGGTCAGGGCTACAGGTCGCCAGTCGTTCAATGAGGAGATGGTGGAGGATTTGGGTACAGGGACGACGGTGGCCATTTTGAAGCAGGCTGGGACTACAGACAGAGAGAGGGAAAGGTTGAAGATGTGCGTGAACACTCCAGCCAGCTGAGCCGCGCATGACTTGAGGACGCGGCCGGGAATCCCGTCCCGTTCACAGCCTCTTCTCCTGATAAAGAAGGCTCTCATGGCTTTTCTACTTGACAGAACATTTCCTTTGTTTGTTTGGTTGTTTTTTTTTTTCACACATTTACTCAAGTTCAGTTGTTTTCGGGGCCGTCCCTCCGTGAGCCTGGTTCTGCCAGTGGTTTCTTCCTGTTAAAAGGGAGTTTTTCTTTTCCACTGTCGCCAAGTGCTTGTTTTCAAGGAGCTGTCTGATTGTTGGGGTTCTGCCTCTATTACTGCAGCGTTCCTTTTTTGTACAGTATTATGATATCATAGGGATTTAATGTATAGTTAAATGTCTTTACAGTGACAGAAAGGGGAGTTTTACTAATCTGACCAATTTAGGATTAAAGTGGGCTGTATGTGGCCCACCGTCTAAAGTGAGAGATTCCCAGAAAGATAACAACCTCATGTATCAGTCACATTAAACCTTTCAAACAGGTACTTTACACCACCTTAGCTCAGTGGGTGAGCAGGTAAGAGCATCGGCTCGTGCTCCAGTCCAAACTACAGCCCTTTTTTGCGCGACTTTCCTTTCACTTCACTGTCCAATAAAGGCAAAAATGCCAAAAAACAAAAACAAAGAAGCTTTTAATATATTTCTTTGGAAATTTTGAAAAGTGAGGGCCATTACTTTAATGAAGAATGACATGTGAATACTTTCAACGAGCTGAATTTGCTAAGTCATCCTTGGTTGGGACTACTGCAGTCATCTGTTTTTCATTATTTTGTCATTACAATGGGCTCTCTGAAGTTTTGTAACAGCAGACCCAAATGTTTCAAAGGTGCTTAAACATTTGGAAGAGATTTTTTGTTTCTGTTGCTCATGATGATCATGCAGTGCCTGGGAAAACTGCGCTTTTCCTGAGAAGATTTGAGGACAGAGCAGCAAGAGATGAGCGCTGGGTGGTGGAGCCAGGAGATTTAACGATAAGCATGTGACCCAAAACGGAAACAATCAGGCCTTATTACAGACCCGACGTCAGAGTTTAGGGCGAGTCACTCAGCTGTGGGTGACACACACCAAAACACACGTTCACAGCGGGACGCACGTCGGGGTCCAGCAGTCGGCGTCGTGATGTCAAGCCCGAGGAGAATTACTGAAGCACTTTGAAGCGTCTGTACACGGGGAACTGCTCTGAATGTTTACTTGTTAGGTGGGCTCTTAAACTTGGCACGTAGGCTGAGTGCTCCACATGAAGTAACAGTTCATAAAATCCTTTCAAATCAAGAGTGAGAAACAACAAGAGCTCTGCAGTAGTCCTTATCAAAGGAGCACAAACCAAAGACTTCCCATTTCATCATATTCCCTGAAAGCTTGCCATTCAGTGACAAAGGCCAGATTCATATTTCTTCCATAGTTCTGTAAATATTCAATTAGCAAGCTTCGCATAGCTGAGGCCGCCTGTTGTCTCAGTAATTGAGGTTCCTGCTCTCTTGTTGCCATTTTTAGCCGACCTCTGCTCTCGTCTTGCGTGAGGGGCCATCCAGCGCCTGAGTTGTTTGCTTCTCAAACATTTCAGTGCACTTGTCATCAGCTGGCTGTGGCCAAAACAGTTTTTTTCCTCTTCTTTTTGGCAAAAGCAACTTAAAACACGCGCAGCTATTTTGTAAATACGACATTCTGAAAGGCAGCGGAAGGATTGCAAAACGATAGGACTGTAATAATTTAGCTATGCTATGATTTCAAAAGATGCATTTTAAACATTACACTTCTCACATTTATTTGCTGTATTTGTGATCAGAATCATTGGGTTTTGTACCAAGTGTGCAGGCAGCTAGCCTACAGTTAGCTTGGCCTTTAACAGAGCATACAAACAGGTTGTGTGTGCGTTTTCTTAATATTCATTTGTGACTATACGTTTATTTTATAGTCGCTTGCCTGCTACCAGACTCCAATCTTTTCCTAGCTTTCTATAGTTCACTTCACACATTTAAGTCTCCATATTTCATCTTTGACCTAATTTCCTGCAGCTTTAGCAGTTTTATTTACTAGAGGTGGGCGGATTGATGCAAATATCGATAGTCTCTATATCATTAGTTGTGGTGGATTGATACTACTGCGACAGGATCGATACTTTGTTTCAATCCTCTGTGTAGTCCACGAAAAAATATGCCTCAAACATGCTCTTTGAACCGTTTTGTGTTGACTGTCACGTCTACTTTTTTAAAATAACTTGTAATATGTTCAAAAAACAGAAATGTATCCAAAGAGCTTTATAGACAGACACATTTGCATTAAAGGTCTCCAAAAAAACCAGTTTCAAAATACATGAAAAGCTGAAATGTGTTTGGAGCGGCCATTAAAATGTGCTCAGAATTTGCAAAGTTGTAACCCATGACACACTGATCTCCCCTACAAAAGCTGCCTTTATAAGTCAAAAGTATCAGTACCAGCAAGACTGGCCCTGTGTTTACTTGGAATCAGATACCAAAAATGAGTAATATCGCACAGCACTATCATTTACCCAAACTGAGCACAAGTGCCTTTCATAGAACTTTATTGTGATCCACATGATTAACAAATCAGAAAGAACAGAAAGAGTTCAGCATTTCAGGTCTGAACTGCATCTTTTATTTAAATCTTCAGTGTGCATTGGTGCGTGAAAACAACATCACAGCCAGTCTTGCGATTGCAATCCCACAGACATTCACAGAAACCTCTGCAGCAGCAGCAGAAAGAGATTTCTTTGCTTTTTTTTGTTTGTTTTTGCTTTTTATGAACAGGTTTTCCATCATTGCTATCTGCGGCCTGCGACCTGTCAGTGCGAGCAGCAGCTCGTCCGTTTTAATCATTAGCGGGGCCACAACTTATTTTCCCATGGTTCTTTGTTTGCTTGTGGTGCACGAACTGTGACCTGCAAGCTGATACTGTTGGCCCGGGTGATGTGCAAGTTTGGTGAAACTGCAGGGATCAGTGATTCAGGCACACGATTCATTCAGGATTTGTTTTTAATAATTATTCTTTATTCTTTCAGAAACTGTTAGCATTTCTCTTCCCAACAAAATTCACTTGTGCTGCAAATGCATTGTCATGGTTGCAAAAAACGTCTCTATGCTGACTTACAGTTATACATATATAGTTTTCTACTCTGTTATAAAAATCAATAAATTAGAACAATAAATAGTCTTTTATTTGACACAAGCAGCAGAGGTATCAAAAGGCCTTTAACAAAAGAAAATAATGATCTTCTTTGGGAATCCATCTATGGATGATGTGTAGCTGCTTCCCCACTCCACAGTAATGTTCCAACCAAGACATTTACCATCAAAGTGGGAAAAACAAAGGAGTTGGAGATATGTCCAGTTTGTGTGTCTGTGGGTGGGTGGGTGGAGGGGGGTCCACACAGTGCTAGGTCAGCAAGACAAGCTAGTTAAGAATGTTTGTTGCCTAGGAATGTGGCCCACCCCTGCCTCACTCCCCCCGAAGCATCACCTCAAAAGCTTCTCACAGCGGCTTTAAGTTCTCCGAAGCTGAGTGGTGGCATACATGGTTCTCAACCAACAACACCTTGTTATCACTGAGGCTCGGGGGAGTGGAAAAGAGGCATGTGAAGTGGGAAATGGGGTTAGGATTGATAACCCTGACACTGGGACCTCAGCACAGTACCCACGTATCAGGAGGCCACAGGAGGCAGGCGGTGGGCCTGGAGAGTTCATGCCTTGTCAGGTTGCCTCGGGGAGGTCATTTCACTGCGCCGAGGCACATGAAGTGCTGATTAGTGTTTGCATCAAGTGGGGAGGCTAGAGATAAGTGGAGAGGAAGGCAGATGTCAGGGGAAAGGGGAGAGGGAGGGGGGCAGCGGGCCCACTAGTTCCCACCAGGCTGCAGGATGGGCTTGGTTCTTTGGGAAATCTTGAGACTTTCTAGTCTTACGTGTATGAGGACGTGCATCGTTATTGACAACAACGTCCATATTCACCTTTGCTGTATAAGATGAAATAATGTGTCTCGTGGTACAAGATATTATATTTGCTGCACATTTGAGAGTTCTTATAGTTTCATGCATAGTGACTGAACACATTCAGTCCTGCTGAGGAACCCTTATAGAGACTGTAGGAATCTGCATTCTCAGTTCATCTCCCTCTCTTTAGTTATTTTGTCCTTCCTCTTATCGTAAGACTTTCAGTAGACTTTCTAAGATAGTCCAGATTATCTGCAGCCACACTCGGCCACCACCATGCCTTCATACTTGTACTTGTAGGTGACCACCCCCGTGTCGTCCAGGTACAGCAGGGAGATGGGGTCCAGCTTGGTGGGCACACAGCACGCTCGTGCTGCCTTCTGAGGGCTGTTGATGTTGACCAGTGTCTGGACGATGGCGTGCTTGGTGGGTGTGACGTGCTTTGTCAGTGGGTAGGAACAAATTCCACTGCACTCAAAGGCATCATAACCAGTGGGGGCAAGGATCCAACTGTCCCATCCAATGTCCTTGAACTCTACGTACAGAGACTGCTTCTTGCAGTGGTTTCCCTTGGCGTTGCGGCGAATGCGAGAAGCCGAGTCATAGATGAGATTGGAGCGCATTTGGATTAGGTCTTCCTCATCTGGCTCACTTTCTTCACTCCCCCAAGTCCCAAAGTCATTCTGCACGACCATGTTAGAGGTTTCGTGGTCGATCATCTCATTCAGTTCCCGCCTGTCATCGCGGTGATCGCTGCTCTGATCATCGGAGAAAACAATTAGCAGGGGTTTGTGTTTTTTCTCTGGGCTCGTGTCAATCTTCATGTCCCCTTGAGGCAGAGTGCTGTCTTTGTTGGCTTCTGTCACGTCTTGAACATTACCATCATCGGCGATGCTGGCAATATGCACCTCCAACCTGTGTGTGGTTCCATCGTCAGATCCATGCCAGCGCTGTACAGCAGCAGTGAGGTCAAATGCCTCCCAGCCGTTATCGGTGCCGTAGACCTGGCGTGAAGCCAGTTCCACCAACTCTATCCGCTCCTCTCCTCCGCTGAATGCGTCTCCTCTGGCAGCGTTCGCATCCGTCTCGTTATCGTCATGCGATACCAGCTCGTAGATAGTTACCCGGCGATCGACACCAGCATAGAGGTGGCGATCGGTCTGGACTAGGGTGTAGAGGCGAAGCTCAGAAGCTGTGATGCGTTCATGATGTGGGACTGACACATTGAAGAGGAGAGGGTGGCGCCTCACTCCTCCCACACCAACAGCACTGGGAGAGGAATCTGGGTGGGGAGAAAAAAAAGTGGTTCAGACATAAACTTGCTTATTCAAGACAGAGAAACTTTGAACTCCTGTTTGAATTTAATCCAAACCGTCATGTCAAAGTAGAATTAACATTTTGAAATAAAAGGCTTTTTAAACTAAGGAAGAGTTTCAGTGTCATGAACTAAATCAAATACTAAACTTTGTACATATCTGAAAGGAGACCAGTTTCACAAGTCTTACAGATCACAGTGATAAGAATAAGAAGTGATAAGAAAAATCATTACACGTATTAACTTTGCATTTAACCCTGTAAGGTCGTCATTAAGGACAAGTAGCCCTTATTCCTAACCCCGTGCTTTAGAGGAAAATTAAAGGATTTCTTGTTGTGGCTGTTTTGTTTTGGAAAAATGAAAATGTTTGGATGTGTGTCAGAACATTTAGGCAAAGCTTTACCATAATTTAAGGTTAGGATAATTCAGAGGAAAAAAGTATCTCTTTTCTTCAATCTACATTATCGACAAGATACTGAGCAGTGACGTACCTTCGTTTTTGAAGCTGCGGATGATATTTGCCGTGGGCATGGCACTGTGGTCATTAGCAAAGCGGTTGTAGAGCTCCATCATGTATTCAGGTGGCTCCTGTCGTGTACTTCCAGGAGCTAAGGAAGGAGGACCCATGCCAGAGAGGTTGAAAGTACGCAGAAACTGTTCTTTTAGGTTCTCCAGCAGGTTTTGCACATCCTTGTTGCCGTCCTGCTCCAGCAACGATAAATCCACAACCCCTCCATGCCCGTCTCCGAGCCCTGGAGCGGGACGCTGTCTCTGACGGGCACTGGAGATGGGGCTAGTCTCTCCACAGAGGGGCCCCTGAAGCAGCAGGATGGAGTATGTCAAGAACAAGGTCTTGGAGGTGCAAATGGTTCCCAGTTGAGAGACCCAAGTGCTCGCCATGGGAGAAATAATCTGCAGCAATTTAATTTATGCCCTCTAGGGTTGTCTTTGGATGAGTTCATGCAAAAAAAGAAAAAAAAAAGATCTCTAATTCAGAGGTTAATTTAGGTAAAGATCAGTTTATCTGTAGGCTAAAAAGTTCTTTCAGCTGAAAAGTGTTGGTGGCCCTTGCACAGGCCAGTGTGAGCCTCTCTGCGTGTGTATTCCTGATGCTGTCTTCCAGACCTCACAGCATTTATTCTCACGCACACCTTTTGATGTCCTTTGCGACGCCGCTGTAGTTCCGGTGGCAGGGTGGCCGAGGCTCGTCTTTGTCCGTCCGACTCATCTCTGTTGTGTCCTCTGCTCTGTCAGTCTCCCTCTGTGCTCTGCTCTCTGTTGCCAGCTCTTTCTTTCTGTCCCTTATCTATGCTATGGTGGGCTCTGCATTGCTTCTGTGCGTATGGTCTCTTAGTTGGTGTGTGTGTGTGTATGTGTGTATGCGTGCCTGCTTTCCCTTCAACTTTGTGAGATGCACATGACCGTGTTATCTCACAACTTCCTTAATGAGGATTTTGTAAACACTGTCCTGTAGCCTCTTCCTTGTGGAAGAGCTATTTTGTTTGGGTGGGTGCTCCAGAGTTGATATTCTGCACTTGTTTATTTGCTTTGTAAATGGTGGATTCTTGCGAGCTGCTGCCTAGGCTCCATTGACCATTTCTCTTTTTTTTGGACAAAATACACCACAGGTCTGTTGATATCGTTCAGTGCAACAGGATGCATCTATTAGGCAACGGTGGCACAAATGAAATTGAAATGCAATGAGGTGTGAGGCCTTAATGATAGAGCGTAAAAGCTACTGAGTTCACTTTGGGTCTTGACAACATTTCAAGTAGCTCGTGAGAATGACAGAGCAGTACAAAATCCTCATTCCCGTTCGTTCAGCCACTTCCACACTTGTGTAACGCTTGCTGAAAGTTACTTCCTCCTCTGAGAAGAGCAGCAGTGTGTCTGAAAAGGGGTTAACTGAAATCAAGAATAGGTGAGGCACGCTCACGACATTTCATCTGGGGCACCAGCTTGCAAGGCATTCCTCTCAATTAGAATAACAGGAACAAGTCAAAGGTGATGGCAGTGGAAACTGGGTGACTAATGAAGCAGGCGTCCGAGGCCTCGTCCAATGTATTGGCACATGCTACACGCTACAGTGCGTGTGAAGCAAACAAACAGCTAAGCCGTGAGAGACTCTGATGACACTAGTTAGCAACGATTCACGCTGGCTTCCAATCAGATCCGAACAACTGCTCAGTTCGTCACCTGAACCCTCGTCTCACTACACAACTGTCCTTCATTCCTGAGCTTCTTTGTGTGACCCGCAGATACACTCCTGATATTGGTGCGTCACAGATGGGAAGGAATGAGCCTTTCCTGCCTCTGCCACTCATCTGCCAGGCTGATGGTTGACAGACGTTCTTGTTATCTGCCTCTTTGTTAAACTGCTGCTGCAACAGGCCGTCACATCTTCCTGGTGGACTAAAGAAAGCTTGATAGTAAAAAATGTCTATTTGCACACAGAGTCAGGCCCAAGGTCACATGGTCTCCATTATCGGCCCAAGAGTGTAACAACTGAGGATTTAGGGAGCCCACAGTTGCTATTTTTGGACCAAACCTTATAGGAAGCAGATATTAAGTCCTGATATCCTGTTTCTGAATTTTAATGATTTCCATCTGTGTGTTCACTCCCCAGTGTTATCCTTTTACGACTACTGAAAATCAACACAACTTTCACCACAAAACCTCTGCTGTAAGACTTATTATTTTTACTGTTTTTAAAGTAGTACATAATCATTTTTGACTACATGGAGACATCGTTGACAAAACATTGACTAAGTCACCATTTTCAAACACATCCAGGAGGACCCAGAGTTGCCGAAGACCCTTTGTCTTCGCCAACTCCTGAGGGAAAGGTCTGGATATTCACCTAACCTTTCCCCGCGCTTCTGTCATGATATTGTGGGGTTTTAGTGGATATTCCAGTACCTGTTATTAATAACTGGAAGGCTGGGGCTGTTTCCACCAGAATCTGCTGCTCTCAGGCAAACACAAATCCAAACTGGGACCAAAGAACAATTTCTGATATTTGTTCATAGACCCAGAATGGACCACAGCACAGAAGACAAATTCATTGCTGGGCCTAGTTTGACTGTGGTTATCTAGGTTCCTCCCACAGTCAAAACACAAGCGTGGGGATACGCTAAATTGACCGTGGGTGTGAATATGAGCAGAAATGGTTGTCTGTTTCGATTGTCTGGCCCCGCAATAGACTGATGACTGCTAGGATAGGCTTGAACAGTTTGCTTCTCTCATAGCTTGTATATTAAAGATGGATGTAGCCATCTATTGTTTCATAACATCGTCCAGTCCTCTCTTGGCCCGAGTGATGTTATGATCGCCTACCTATTGGCTGCATCTGTTTGTACCATCCGGTGTGCCAGTTAAAGCAGCCACGCCCCCATTTTTAACCCCTTTTGACGGAGAGTTAGATGAAACCTAACCTCCTGTACTGTGCTGATGAAGGGCGGAGTTAGCTAAACAGACCTTGGAGGTTTTAATGGGAGTTACAGAGTCTCGGGATTGACACCTTTTTGAAGTTCACATAATTTTTTCAGCCATGTATCTGTCCCGATGTTCCATAACGTTCCTCAAGAAAGATTTTTTTTCTGTTTTCTGTTATTAATTTGTTTGAACTGTGGGGGTAACAACACATAACAACACATATTGGTACAAAAAAGCTTGAATGAGCTGTAAGATCATTTTGCGCATCGACAGACACATTTCAATTTGTGCAACTTTATTAATTTACCACTGAAATGAAACATGTTTGAATGACACACACTCTTTGTACTCTCTAACATTCATATTAGATAAAGTCCCGTTTAGGGTTTGAGCAGAGTTGATGCCTGACCCTAGATTTCCATGCAAGTAATTCATGTAAATGTGTTCTGTATGACAGTTACACCAGATGAAGGTAATTCATACACAGTGACGTGACTGTTGCAAACGGGAGGATCAAACATGTCCTTAAAATAAACACAAATATAATAGTCAATAATTTATCTATAGGACCAAACGGTGACTCCCAGTTCCCGTCTTAATGGATGAGGCTTCCCTCGTTAACAGGATCATAAATCCACATGTAAGTGAATCTCAGAATTACGTTTAAGTAGGAGCTTTCTCTCTCATGAGGAACTGCTGAATGTCTCTTTGCAGCTCGCCGTTGCGTCTCTGGGCCTCGTCTCTGCTGCGTTCTGCATTTTTTAGGCAGATCTCCAGAGCGGCCACACGGCGGCGTTCAGCCTCCAGGGCCGACTGGAGCTCTGCCACGGTGGCCTTCAGTTCCTTGTTCTCCTGCTGCAAACTGCAAGAGGCAATGACAGACATAAACAGGTTCACATGTGCAGTAAGAAAGGCAAAGGAAAAGCTAAGCTGTGCCAGGAAGAGTTTCTGCACCGGCAGTTTTCCCTCCAAATAACTCACGTCGGTTTTGTGTGAACACATGGACTTGTTTCCAGTATAAATAAACTCATTTTAAGTTTCCAGGAATCTAGTTCAATTTATGTTTATTATACTCCAGGGTCTGCTTTGCTCATATAAGATTCTCTCACATTGAATCCAGGCTCTAAGTGTTCTGCAACAACACATCTACACTCTACAGTTTCGGGGTAGAAATTGAGCATTTCATTTCAGTATTTCTAAAACATTTTATTTTAGGAAAATTAGTGTTTAATGGCTGAAATGGTGGGTCAGGGTGTCCATGTGACTCTTTTGCTAATCTCACCTGTCTAGAAGTGGCTGCCCGGGGTCTTTCTTCAGCTCTGGCATGCTGTTGACCTGTGGAGGAGGACTGCTCACTGGCGTGGTGTCTACACTCTTCTTATTAGAGAGCATCCGGGGATACTGGAAGTCACTTTCAGGGGTTTGCGGCACAGAAGTGGAAGAAACTAAATTCTCACTCCCCCTCCGAGTGGTCAATCTGTCCTCCTCCTCTTTGTTACTCATTGTAGACCCCCCGAAAAATGATCCTGACGTTCGCAGGTCTAGGATTTTAAAAATGTCCTCTGACAGCGTGCCGCTCTTCTCGTCTGTGCTCTCCTGGATCCGACTCCACCTGTTGAGGGCTTCGGTCTTGGCTGCCATCCCGGTGAGCGGGCAGTTGAAGGTGGGGAGGGTTTGGGTGCGTTTGCGGGGGCTTCCGAGCCAGTCATCTACAGAAGGAGACAGAGGTTCCTGCAGCGAGGTTTTGGGGCTGTGGTCTCCCCTGAGTGGACCCGGACTGTCATTGTCCTCCTCCTCCGGAGACTCAGACAGACATGCGTCACCCATCTAACACAAACACAGAGAACACAGACTGATTACACATACAGAGATTTGCTATTTGCTGACAACATAGGCCTAAATTTCTTATTAAGCTATTATCATCCTCAAATGTATCCATGTAGCAAAAGTACTCTACCTCTCGGTCAATTTACCAATAAGAATACCATTAGTAACCATTAGCATAATAACAGTCACAGTCTTACATGTCATACAAAGACACAGGAATTAACACCAGAGTCGATCTGGACGTCTCCATCTGCATTATTTATTTATTTATTCATTAGGAGCCCCATTAGTTCCGCCTTAAAGCACAACTAATCCTAAGTTTTCTACTCTTTGTTCTATATGATCTCAGTGACAGCATCCCTAACACGATCATCTCAAGCACACAGCTCAGGCTTTAACTCGTTTCCTGTTTAAACCTGTTGTTCACGAGGGGCAGCCAATCAAGAGAAAGCTGACTTAAATTAAGAGGAAAAGGAGCAAAGACAGAAGAAGAAAGTCCAGACAATGTAAGGCCTCACCAAAGTCATGCATGAGAGAGACGAGGATTATTCTGATCAGTTAATCATGCAAAGCTACCCTAGCAGTGTCCAACAATAACATATAGAGCAGAGAATGAGCAGAATAAATCCCATCAAACCAAATACATACACATTAAACACATATGAACACATAAGATGTGACCTGCAAATAAAAGACAAAACGACAGCAGCAGGATCACGTCTGAGTGGAATTCCACTGTTTCTTTGTTCTTTACATGAGAAGACTGGAAAACTAAAAAGAGAATGGAGAGCTAGCCCAGCTTTGTTTAAGGTACAAACATGTATGTCCTGTCACCTCAACAGCTCAACCATTACTGCATCACCACGATCCTTGTGTACTTAGTTGACATAAAGCTTCTTTCAGCTGGTCCCTTATTCACAAGAGGCCACCACAGAGGACAGATCTGTGTGTTTGATTTGGCAGATTTTGAAGCCAGCTATTCTTCCTGATCCTCCCAGTCTCTCCTCCTGGTCCCAGGGTTTCTTCACAGTGTGGAGTAGCTGTGCCAAATAATCACTGTACTACATGAACAATCTCCTGGATCCACTCGTATGTTTATCATATCGATGTCACGTGTCAAGTATTTCCCAACATCAACCAGCCACCTGGTAACTGCCATTGTTCTGTAGCCACTTTTGTTAATAAACTAGCTCTGTTGTTTGTCACATATAAATTCTTATGAAAAAGCTAGTTTAAATATTTTATAAATTCAAATTTCAGTAAAATAACGAGTCATTTTGACACACTAACAAGCTCGTTGCGAAAGCCTAATGTGCGGCTGAAGGCTCGTACCTCTGCAGACTCCCAGCCCACAAAGCTTCGGGGAGCATTCTTCTGGCTCTCTGCCTTGTTTGAAGGAGAGGGGGGAAGCACATCTTTGGAAAGAGGAAACAGAGTCTCATGTCGTCTGATCATCACCGTCATCAGCTTCTGGATCTGAGGAGTCGCTGTGAAGAACAGAAATGTGAAAAGATTATGATCAAAAGCTCTTATCTTTTGGCTTTTATTCTCATTTTTGATACACTTTCTTCAGTCTTCAATATTTACTTGGATGGGTTTATGCAGTTCAGACAGATCGTTACAGAGACATGAGATCACTGGCTGAAAAAAGGAGCCGAAAACAAGCAGAGGTAGAATCTACTTGGAAGTAGATGTGCTAAATATTACAAAAGTATCTAAATGGTACACCAAGACTGGTTTATCTGAGCAAACACACTGTTGTTGTCTCTTGTTGTTGCCTAATATATCTAACAGAAACACAGCTGAAACTGGGGTCTTTTGAGATGAACCAAAACAGGTACATCAGTGAGCTGTGTGTCCTCACCCTTCATCACAGTGATAGGATCTTCTATCTGAGGTTTCAGCAGGTTGATGCCCATCACAGTTGCCAAGTTCTCCACGTTCATCTTATTCACCTTAGAGTGTAGCTGTACCTCAAACAAGAACCTGAAAAACAACAGGACACGTAACCAGACACAGGATAGTATGTCTCAGACCGAGAGGCTGATCTCAAAACAATACTGGGGTGATGGACCAGAGGGTCTCTGTAGGATCTGGTAGATGTACGGGTGTCTTTCTTTTAAACATATTAAGTTATTTTCAAGTTTGGATGTAATGACGTCCTTCAGCATCTACTCACCGACAAACGTAGCTGAGAAGATTGTAGTTTACTCTGGGGAGCAGAGCAATTTCTTTGTTCAACCTCTCCCAGCCCTGAAAACACATGCAAGCAACCAGTTTAAAGGATACATACGCTCAAAACATCAGAGGATATCCACTTCTTGTCCACATGTACGCTCAGCTCTGTATTCATCTTGCAGTGTGTTTAAATTAAGTGCACCTCAGAGCTGGTGGAGTCCAGGAGGTTGGTACAGTCCAGGAAGTCTTGGTACTGACTCCAGGGGACCACAGGTTCAGGCAGCTCCCGCAGGTACAGCTTGAGTAGTGACGCCACCGTGTGGACATCTGTGTCGCTGTGGCAATTTAAACGATACTCATTACCCAGCGAGAATAAACCATAGGGATGCAGATTGGCTGACTGGTGTGGAAGCTCTTGAGTTTATCTGCACATCATGAAAGGCTTTGCACAATTATGCTTTCAATCACACTAAGATATGTGTAAATATTTTCTTGGACGGACAAATAATCTCGACATGGTGGTGTGTAGCATAAACAGGGTCTGGGTCTCTTGTACGGAGTTTGCTGTTGTAACTGTGACAAGAGTGCAGTTCAAGAGGGAAACTCGAGGCCTTGCCTTTGATTTTTGTTGCAAAGTATCTGTCGGTTGGCTCAAAACTCATGTTCCCTGACTCTACTCACATTAGATTACAGACAAACAAGCAAGTTAAGTTAAATGGATGTTTTCATCTACAGTTTTCTGTCGGAGGAGCTTGTGATGTTGAGTAATAAAGGCGTCCTCCCCTGTGCCTGCCAGAACAGGATGTGGTATCACCCTCAGCTCTGAGCAGACACAAATCTATCAACTTCTCACTACATCTCTCTCATCTCTCCTTGCTTTCTCAGAAGAAGAAGAGAAAAAAAAGAGCGGATGCTGTTGATTGATTGAGGTTAGGATATTCGTCTCCTTTTATGGAAGTGGCTCTTATCGAGACAGCTAAATTTGTTTGAAGCACATTTACTGCGTCTTAAAGTTTCTTTAAGATGTGATAATTAATTCGTGCCATAACAACTTTACACTCACTATTTCCTGTGAATTCTATATGAAATTCATGCTGCTGTCCTTTTCACGGGACTGCTGTGATGAGCTAAATGCACCCAATGATTCATTAGCTTATATAGTAGCA